AGTTAAATGTCCTTATATTTATTTTAATGAAGTGGAAATGTAAAAAATAACAGGTACTTTTAAAGTGCCATCTTTTGCTTGAGGTGCAACGTTCAAGTGGAAAATTAAAACATTTGAAAACTTAAGCCAAAAAAGGAAACGCACACATTTTATGACTGTTAGTAAGACAAGCACAACAGGACAAAGATGTCTAAATAATAAAGAAAATTAAAAGTTATATTTTAATAATATTCTGAATTGTATGAAAATATTGTCTCCAAGCTTACTGTAAGTCCCTGCCAATCGTTTTGGCAAAAATCTCCAGGAAGCTCCATCCTCCACTTCCGAGGTAGAAGATCAGGATGCCCGGGAGAACCTGGTACCACGGCAGGCCCGCCAGCAGCCTCAACACGAACAGCAGGGCTATGCAACACGAAAGACGCATCATCCTAAAAAAAAACGTGAACACACGTTAAAAAAAGAAACATTCATTTGGCTCCAGATCATAACTACTTAAGGTTGAATATGTCTGCGCAGAGGTTGCTTTTGGTTCAAGTGTGCAGACGCGATGCGAACAACTGAAGAATGTTATCTACAGTGATTTGTTTACATGTGCTGGGCCTGTTTTCAGGCCAGTCCAAGTGGAATACTTTGCATGAAAGGGTGAAATAAAGTGAAATTACTCACTGAACACAAAAACAAGTAGACAAATCCTAAAAGGTTTAAATGAAAGAACTGGACTTGTTCTGTTATTGCTCAAAACTGAAGGCAAAAAAAGGTGATAATTTTAGATATTAAGCTAAAGTTTGGTGTGTGGTAGTAGCTGAGAATCATCTACAACGAATACTCCAACTTGCACACATCATTACTGAGGTTTGACCAAAACGGCAGCGACTTTGTCCCTGATCATCATCAAAAGATGATTTTATTTTAGACTCTTGCATGAAAGGCAGCGGGTGATATGCATTCCTTCTAGGAAAGTGAGGCTCTAAAATTTAAGGACATTTTGCTTCTTATCCAACAGCAAAAAAAACAAACAAACAAGCTTTTAAACTGCAGCTAGTCTGAATGATCAGTTTCACTACAACTGGCAAAAAAAAAATCTCCTCGCATGTGGACCGGGCCCAGCAAAGACCCTAAGCACCCCTCAGGAGGGAGAGTGATTTGCAGGTGTGTTCAGCTTGCAATATCAGAACGACTCACAGCAGCTTTAGTGTCTTCTGATGTGAAGCGAAGCAAGAAACAAACGAAAACCCACTCATTTGCAGATTAGTAGAAAAAGCTATAGAGACCTTGAGGAAACCTCCAAAAACCATAGAGATCTGTAGTAACAAGGCAAAGTGTTGTTGACACCTGATAGAAAGATGATCCTGAGCAGTAAATGATAGGTGCACTCATAATCTATTCATCAGCTTTGCTCTCATTTTTGTTTATTGTTCTGAAAAAGGCCCATTGGGTTAATTATTCTGACATGTTCCCCCTCTTCCTCCCTGCATGTGGTGACAATGAGCTATTTACATCCAAAGCATAAAGCAAACCATTAAATCCTTCTGATGGGACACAGAATGCCACAAAAGACAGGCTTTAGGAGGACAGCTGTCACTTAAAAAGCCGTCATCAGCTCACCGTTTGCTGCCCAACCCGGAAATGAGAAAGGCGCGGAGGAGCATCACACTGCGGCAGGAATCGGAAGATGAAAGGCAAATGTGGTGTTACCTCCAGAACCATGTGCGCGTGAGGCACGGCCTTCATCCGTGACCTGGTGGGACAGTGTGCTAACCGGACGGGAGGATGCGCAGCGGTAAAGGAAGCGGGCGGACAGCTGTCAAGGAGGCATAATTTACCTTTTAAGGACCGGAGGGGTTTGAATTTAGATTCCGAGCACAGACCCGTCTTTCTCCCGTTTAATAAAACCTGACCATCTTTCCGCTGAGCTCAACAGAACATCGCGGGGGCGATGATGATGGTCGCTTAGCAGGGATGAGCAGTGTTAGCCGACATACCTTGCTCCCTCTTTCTCTCCGTCACAGCATAAAGGTGCCCAGAAATCCACAAACGTGAAACTCGCTGCGTGAGATTCCACCTTGATCGGCTTACAGGCCAGCCTGGTCGCCCTCCTTTCCTCTCCCTCTCTCTCCGCCGCCGCTAGCTTGGCTTGACGGAGAAACGCAGACAAGCGGACACACGCTCCTGGGTTCAAATCCCACAAGCACCTCCCGCTGCTGCCCTCAAAACAGACCTGACAAGACGTGTCGACTTTGACCCCGCGGTCGTCAACCGTTTATTGTCCGAATAATTCATATCATCTTTAGGTTTATTGTAACCGGTGAGCTCCCTGGCAGGCGTAATTCAAATGACCTTATAATTTTCTGAGATGAGCCCGCCCACTTGCTGTTAGCGTCGAATCGGTGGATCAGGCACGATCTCTGACAGACAGGCGTTACAGCCAATCGAGAGAGAGGGGTCTATTTTGACGTCACCTCCGGCAGGGGTGGGGTTTGCGGCTGCGCGGCTGTTTGCTAACCGGCTAGAGAAGGCCCCGCCCCGTAATGACACAAGGCCATTATGGCGTCAAAAAGAGCCCTGCCTCTGCTTGTAGAGTCCGCCTCACCTCGCCCATTCATCATTCTGTTTGCCTCGCTCAGCCACAAACGGTCCAAACGACAAAAGGAGCCCGGAGGATGGGCAAGGAATGTGGTACGAGAACTAGAATTACTGCCTTTACAATGAAAACCCATTAGAATCCAATTAAATGAAGATCTAGTTGCAGGCTTTTTAATTGCTTTTGCACAATGTCATAGACTTAAATATCTAATTAAATTTCTGATTTTTTGTGCCACACCAAACTGCAAAAATAAAGACCTGTTTTTTTTTTCTATTTCACCTGACTGAGTTCCACAACTTTATCCAAAAGTTTGATTCAAGCAGATTCACATGTTAAAACATCAATGTAAAGATGTCATGAGCCATATTACATAACCTGATTTGATTTCTTCAGAATTGTTATAAAAACTCAGGATCACCGCTGCAACAGAGGGAACTTCCTCACTGGCTAGAAAGTAATTGAATAAATGGCTGCTTTGCAAATAAAAAAAGCTAAATGGTGTTGTGCCTGCATAAACAAACAAACAAAAATAATAAGTTACTAGAATTCAAAGTGTTTTGAACAGCATTTACACAGTACAAGAACAAAGTATGACTCAGGTGTGAGATAACGAATGAAACAGGTAATTGTGTAATCCTCAGACTATAATTGCGAACTATGACCTATAAGAGATTAAATGAAACCTTCCCTGTGTTGGATACCTAATGACACACAATGCAGTTAATTTTATCCATCACTCTAGTTGTGCAATTCTGCTGATAAAAGTTAAGCCTCATAATCACTAGACAAGATTAGGCCACACCTGTAACATAAACCCACACAAATGACTTTTTGTGTTAGGTGTGGAGGTTTTTAATAACTATGGTTGAGAATGTTAACTGTAGAATGCTGAATGAGGAGCTGGATAAGGCAGATGTGTGCAGCTGGCACTCCAAGGTCACCTCAGAGTCTGTGAGCTCGGCTGAACTGATAAGGTATAAAAACAAACTCCGCACACCGCCCGTGGCAGATTCTTGTGACTGGGCTTCATGTACTTCCTGTATATCTGTGTAACCAGTCCTGAAAATCTGTCCTCGCAAGTAAAAACCGGTTAAAAATCTTCTCCTGTCGAGTGTGGTTCCTTTAAGTGAGATAAAGCAAGAATGTTTGTATCCAACATTTTGTTCAGTACATCAAGAACATGCTTAGTTTAGCATATTTCTTAGTTCATATCTTAGATCTAATTACTAGTTTTTCTTTACATTTTATACTTTTGTTGGATGTAACTGGGACCCTGTGTACACAATTTCGTTCAACCACATGTACCACATGGGGTGCGAACGACAAAGAAACCTTAACTTTAACAAACACCTTTTTACAAGTTACCTTCATCAAATTTATTATATATTTATTACACATGTAGTGCAAAAAGAAAGTTGCATGGGGTACTAATTATATCACACTTTTGACAAACCTTTAAATAAAGAGACAATATATCCAAAGTCATTGTGCACATTTTTCCTTAAACTATTTGTCATCTCATATATGAAACAAACATTTAGTCAAAGTTACCCAACAGCTCCAGACAGATGGATGGAAAAAAAGGACAAAATCTTCATTGTCACTTGCAATCAGCTTAAGACCTGAACAGTTGGCATGTTTTAAATACCACGCCAGCATGTTGGACTAAACCTGTTCCCTCCTCGTTATCTCTGTCTGTCAAACAGCTCTATGAGAAGCTGTTAAATGTATATATATATATATATATATATATATATATATATATTCAAGTTTAGTTAAGTAATAAGTGCATGCGTCTTTATGAAGGTGATGCAATTACTCAATCCTCATCCTTTGGCCTGCTTTCATTGGTCTGACAAAGCATTCCCAACGTTGAACTTCTGATCTTTTCCCACCCCCTACTCTCTTTTCAGTCATCCAGTTCAAGACCAAAGTGTGAGTAGAGATCTCGTGTGGTGGTCCCCCTCAGAGCAGCTGGAAGACAGAGACACATTACAGGGTCAACTCCCTCTGGTCGACTTTTCAAACAATCCACGAAACACTGAACAGACCAGGATCACAGTATGAAGGACCGTGATTGCTTTAAAACACGGGGCTTCTGCTTGGTAAAAATGTTTAATAAAGTTGGCCCAACATGTTACTGATGAGGGACACAAATCCTGCATTTCAAACTTATACATTGAAATTAAAATAACGAATATTTTAACAAAATAATCTATTTTTAAAATAACTTAGAGGCTTCAAAAGGGAGATCCTTGTGGAAAACTGTAGCTTTTTCCTAATGATCCTTAATAAACGTTTTATTTAAAAATGGCTACATTTTAATCTAAATGGCAAACTTTGCCTTTATAATTTCTTGAAGGAAAAAAAGTAAAACGACTTAGATAACATTTTTGATTATAAACAGAATAGCCTGTCAGGAAAGAAAAAGTACATTTGTTTAACTGAAATTATTATCATCACTTGTTTTTGTATTGAACGCTTTTTGAATATTATCATCACCTTTAAAATTAGTATTTATAAACATGAATCCATCCTGCAATTACCTGAAAATGTTGATTTTTACACAAACCAAAAAATAAAACCTCACCATTAATAAAAAGAACAAGTTCAAACTTCAATAGCTTCATTTTTTGCAGACAGAAAGCCATGATCAGAGACAAAGGGACAGTTGTCTTTAGGACAGGACATCTCTCTCCACTGCAGCCCACCAATCACCTCCCTCAGAACAACAACATACAGTACAACGGTCCTCAGTGTCAAAGTGCAGATCTTTGTGAAAGTGTTTGAGGGGAAAAAAAAGTGACAAAGAGAGCGAGACGAGAGAAGATAGACACTGTTTGTGTTTGACTGCATGTGCACATGCAAGTATGAATATAAGCATAGGCGTGGACAGAGACTGAAATTGTAAGTGTAAGTGAAGAGAAAGACTGACATTGTGTCAGAGTGGAAATGCCATCTCCGTTCAGTAAGGTCATTATCATCTCAACTGCGCTGCGTAAAGCTTTACCTCACAAATAAGCCTTAATTTAAATTATCTTTGAAACACCAGTACTGCAAATAATAAAACTTTTGTAATAATGTCTACATTTTCTTTTACACTGACAAAAGACAACATATAAACAGAAAGACAAGTCAAAAGTCATGAGGGAAACCAGTTTAGCCATGATTCACTACAACTTTCTTAATAGATGTGAACTTTGCTCTCCTTACTCATCGGTGTTATGTTGTAACTCACGCATATTTTTGTTGAACTATCAGTTATTGTTGCAATAACATTATTTTGTTCAATGATTTCAGTAAGATCGATCAAATGTCCCAGCTGTTGATCAATATCAACCAGTTTATGAACAAATTTAATTAACAGGTTTTATCAGGTGGTTAATTCAAGGAATATGAGCTAGATCAATACCAAATTAATTTAATGCGAGTGAAATGTTATTAGATTTTGGTTATTAATAGCCAGATTAAACAATCAAAACCATTTCAGTGCTGTCAGACTCTAGCTAAATGAAAGACATGCTTTGTTTTTGGCTCTAATAGAAAACAAACGTGTCTCTCTGCTGCCCTCTACTGATTGGTTGAAGAATTACCTAAATCAACATTGTATTTCAAGCTTGCCGTTTTAATTTGCATTTTTTCCTATAGCCTGCTGCTTCATATCAGGTTTCATGCATACACCTCCCATCATATTTGTCTACCATCTTCTCTCTTTATATGTTTTAATGGAACTCATCTTCAAATGTCACATGGGATTAAAAATGTCAACAGTGATTTGTGCCACATCTATTGTGTCTAAAACGGCAGCACCGTGGCACAGTTAGTAGAACTGTTGCCTCTCAGCTAAAGAATTGCCAGATCAAATCCCTGCTTAGGACCGTTCTGGATGGAGTTTGATGTCCTCCAGGCACTCCCACAGACCAAAAACATACATGTTAGGCTAATTGGTAACTCCAAATTGTCCTAAGGTGTGAGAGTGTGAATGGTTTGTCTTATTTGTCTCTATGTGTCCCTGTGATGAACTTGCAACCTATCCAGAGTGGACATGGGTACCAGTGACATATCCAACCTGGAAAGGAAGAAGCAGGTACAGCTAATGGAAGGATGGGTATTTAGAATATCACGTAGTTTTATAGCACATGATCACACTGCCAGTGTGTCACTTAGTTCATGTTTCTCAGATTGTTTGGTCTTAAAATAAATGAGCAAAGAGGTGTTAACAAGTTTCACATTCAGCTGGTAGTTTAGACCATTTGTGCTTTCAAGCGGCTAGTCTGACAACAATAAAATAAAATAAATAAAAAAAGAAGTTTAAATTGCCATCAAACATTCTGAATTTGTTATGAAAAGAACAGAAGCTGCAACTAGAAGAGGGACGATGGGGCGCTTCCTCTAAACGTCCAAATGACTGACACAATGTTAAACAACTCAGCTGTTTTGTTATACAGAGGGCAATTAACATTAATCCAAAACCAAATGATTTTCACGTCACTGTCCACCTAAAGATTGAGTGTTCATATGATAATCAGAAGACAAAATCATATTGATTTAATAAAACAAATTAGGCTAAAAAAATGTCCACTTCAGTCACATTTGTCGAGCTGCAAATCTGGATTG